GGAAACAGAGAAAGACATGAGAAAGACAAAGCAAGTGAGAAAGAAGAGGAAAAAAACCTTGCCTCATTCAACAACAGGAGAAACATCGGGACTTATTTATTTATTTATTTATTGGACTTATATACCGCCCCATAGCGCTACAAGCACTCACCGGGCGGTTTACAATTTTTAATTATACAGGCTACACATTGCCCCCCCCCCCAGCAAGCTGGGTTCTCATTTTACCGACCTCGGAAGGATGGAAGGCTGAGTCAACCTTGAGCCGGCTACCTGGGATTTGAACCCCAGGTCGTGAGCACAGTTTTAGCTGCAGTACAGCGTTTTAACCACTGGGCCACAAGGCTCACTTCCTCCTCCTCCTTCTCCCCAGTAGCAGCCTCAGAAGGGGGGGGAGTTGAGGGTGAATTCAGTTCCACACAAAAGAGGCAGCCAGGTTTCTTGGCTTTGAGACAGAAGAAGAGCCCTTGAGAAACTAGGAAAAATTGCTGACTATGGAATCCCACAGAAACATGCAGGGGAATGAAAGATGCAGTATGTGGATTGTTGGTACGTGTTTGAGAGCCTCTATTGACCTCCTCAACTTTTTGGGACGAAGGACAAAGAGCAAGTTGCAAGGACAGAGGTGAGTTTTTATTATTATTATTATTTCCCAGGTTCCCCTCCCAGATACTAAACGGGGCTGGTGTACATTCCTAGGCATGGTGAGATTCTGGAAAGAAAAATATCTGGATTTCAAATTTTTCTGTTTTGGCATCCTCTATGAGGCTAGGTGACAGAGTGGAAAGGAAAAGACTCCCAAGGCTTTCCAGCTCTTAAAAGCTGAGGCTACTCTTCTGCCTGACACAGAACGGACAATTATTTGTTCATGAGTGAGACAGCATGGCACTGGGGGTCCACACACAGAGGGTTGGCAACTGGCGAAGGCCTGTAGCTTACCTCTCAAAAGTTGTTGGACCGTGACCAAGGGCTGGCCCTCATGTTTACAAGTTGTGGCAGCTGCTGTTCTCACAAAGGAGGCACGCTAATTTTCTTTGGGAGTGCCGGTAACAGTCCGTGTGTCCTATGCTGCAGTAATGGTGCTGGAGACAAAGGGGAGGGCACTGGCTTTGGTTCTGGATAAGCCTGGAGCCACGGCTCATTATGAGTCCGTGTTTGAACTCTGCCACCCTTCTGCCCTTGCCTTAAAGCTAACCTCACCCTTACCTGCGCCCTCACATTGGCCCAGGGCTGGGAAAATAAATGTCTACAGACTCCATTATGCTTTTGGAATGTTGCCTGCTTTTGGGGTCCGTGTTTGAACTCTGCCTCCCTTCTGCCTTTGCCTTGAAGTCGATTCTGATACGGTTGAGGCACAAGCCCTTCCCTTACCCTCGCCCTCACATTGGCTGGGAAAATAAAATGTTTACAGACTTCATTATGCTTTTGGAATGTTGCCTGCTTTTGGGGAACTTTGGAGAAATAAGGAAATAGGGACAGTAGAAGGAGAGGAAAGATAACATTTAAAGGAGGTCGAGACTCTGTTGGAAGCTGCCTGCTATGTTGGCAGTGCTGCATGTGCAGAGAAGTGGTGGGGATTTTGAAGATAGAGAACGGAATAGGTTAGTGGATGAGATAGCAAGCATCCCCCTCCTTGCTTCTCCAGATGCACAAAGTGGGGAGACAAGGGGGGTTGGTATTGCACCCGGGCTAACCTGCTTGTGTTGCCAGGATTGTTCGCTAGGCACTTTCTGTGGGAATTCCTTAGACATGCATGTGAAGGTTACTACATTACTTGATAATTTGTGTCCTTTGCTATCTGGACAATTGAAGTTGTACCACCTGCCTGTAAATTTGTTGGAAATAAATAATTTGGGGCAGGTTGACTGCCTCAGGGTGCTAACAAGTTCTGGAGATTTCTTCGAATATGAAGAGATGAATATTTACCCATTTTTTATTCATCCTCCATAGCCAGAGAGGGAAGACTAGGCAGCCGGGCAGCCTAGCCTTCCCTTTCTGCCTATGGCCTTCTCTCTCTGCTTATGGCCCCGCCAAATAGCTGATTGGCAGGCCCATAGGCAGTGGGCTAGGCTAGGCCCCACACCCTTCCCACTGTTCCTGTTGCCACCTTACCTTGGCTGCTGCTGCCACCACCATCATTGCAAAGATGGTGGTGGCGGCTTTCTTTAGCGCATCAGATCCAGCCTTAATGTAAGCTGCAGATGCCCTTTGCAAAAGTGGTGGCAGTTTCCCTTACGACATTGGAACTGGCTCTAAGGGAAACAAGGCTGCCCTTTTCAAAGATGGCAGTAGCAGCCAAGATAAGGAGGCAACGGGGCAGTTTTTAAGATAGCCACTGAGGAAATTTGTGGTTCATGAACTGCCATTTTAGCATTCCATCCCCATCTCTAAGGAAGACATTTTGGAGAGCACTTACTCATAGGAACACCATTGTCAGAGGCAACTTGATAGCACAAAACAGATTCTGTTTACTCAGAATGAACTATTAAAAGGTTGCAGATACTATTCTTTCACCAGTCCAGTTCCGAGCACAAGATGGTTAAACTGTATGAAGCCAACTTAAATACACATCTTTTACGTTGGTGAAACAAGACACAGACTGCTTGCTATGTAGAAATAGAACAAGAAAGGCATCCATGCTAGATTTGCTTGAGCTACACCAAAAATCTTTTAATTTTTAAAATGTTTTTGATCAAGAGTCACCTGCTTGCCATGTCAGTCATGAAGCATAACCTATACCGTCCTACTCAGGTGTACGCCCACTGACCAATTAGTACACCCAGCTGCATAGATTTGCAACTTCTGGATAATTCCAAATGAGACTTTTATTGAGCATCACCTCCCTTATTCACAAAATTTTATTGGGTTCTGCGAGGTCTCCCACCTGCTATCCTCCCAAATTTTCCCCTGCTAGCTGTAGACTTTTTTTTTTAATTTTAACAACTAGGGATAAGGTAAGGAGTACAGAAGGTAGAGGGGGATCCGGGGGGGGGGAAGGAGAACACAAAATGTACTGTCATCCAATCTGTTCATGTTGCGATATCAAGTCAACTTTCCGCCTTTCTACAATTTGATCGCCCTCCAGGTTTCAACTTACAGTTACATCTTAGTTTAATTCTATGTTACTCAAGCACTGTCTGGTGACTCGAGCCATTTATATAATAAATCCCATCATTCAGTAACCTTTTGTATTGGACAGTCTTTCAACACTTTTGATAGAATATCCATTTCTGCCACTTTCTATATCTTCTCAATGAGTTCCTCTTGTTTCGGTATCTCCTATTTCTTCCAATTCTTCCCATAAAGAATTCTGGCTGCAGTGACTATATATATAACTAGGTTGTCTTATCTATACTGACTGGTATAATGCTCAGTAAAAACTATTCTGGGGTTAGTGGAACATTACAAAGCAGTATTTTTTGTAACAGAGTTTGTACTGCTATCTAATACTGTTTCGCTACTCTACAGGTCCACCACATATGATAAAAGCTTCCCTCTTGTGCTTCACACTTCCAACACACATTTGACACCTCTGTATAAATCTTTCCAGAGTCGTATGCTACCTATAAAACATCTTATATATGTTCTCCTTGAAATTTACTGATTTTGTGAGATTTATGTTATTTTTCCGTATTTGGAATTTACTGATTTTGTGAGATTTATGTTATATTTCCGTATTTGGAACCATTGATCAATATTGCGTCCTATATTTTGTGCCCACCTACCCTGGATTCCATTGATCAATATCAATATTGTGTCCTATATTCTGTGCCCACCTACCCTACTAACTGTAGACTTGATAGATCTACTTTGTTTTTGAATCCCAGGATCTATTATTCAGAGTCAAGTATCAAAGATATACAATCAGGACTGAGCGGAGCCCACAATCCTTGCGCACAGAAATCCACTCTTGGTTACCTAGACATTCATTTCAGGCTCATCAATATCAATATTGTGTCCTATATTCTGTGCCCACCTACCCTACTAACTGTAGACTTGATAGATCTACTTTGTTTTTGAATCCCAGGATCTATTATTCAGAGTCAAGTATCAAAGATATACAATCAGGACTGAGCGGAGCCCACAATCCTTGCGCACAGAAATCCACTCTTGGTTACCTAGACATTCATTTCAGGCTCAGTAGTGTAATTTGAAAGCAGCAAGTTTCGTTTTGTTGATGCTGTTATTTAAAAGTTAAGAATAAGAAATCATTTCTCATTCACTTTAGATCACCCAGAGTCGTTGCCTATCTTCTGCCCACCTGGCCATATAATGTCCTTTAAATCTTGAAATACCACTTAAATAAGTAAATGGGAAGTGCCAAGGAGCTGTTCATTTTGAAACTACAGTGGTGCCTTGCTTGATGAGGATAATCCGTGCCACTGAAATCGCTGTTAAACGAAATCCTTGTCAAGCGAAATTAAAAAGCCCATTAGAATGCATTAGAAACCAGCTAATGCGTTCTAATGGGCGAAATACCTCATCGTAAAGCGAAGATCCTCCATAGGGCAACCATTTTCCGGTGCCTGTCTTGCAAAAAATGCCTCCTAAAAACAGCGGAGGGGCATTTTGAGAGCCGGCAGCCATTTTGAAAACCGTCAATCAGCTGTTGAAAAAACATTGTTTAGTGAAAAATCGGTTCTCGAAGCAGGGAACTGATCATTGTTAAGCGAAAAAAACCCATTTAAACATTGCTTTGCGATTGCTTTTGCGATCGCAAAAACATCGTGAAGCGGATTCATCGTTAAATGGGGGTAATCGTAAGCGGAACACGACTGTAGTGTTGAATGTCTGCTATTAACAGCTGCTACTGGGGCTTTCTCTAGCTCATGATTTGGTTTTATTCTCAGCTGTCATGTAAACCTTAAGTGTCAAATGAGTTGGGTCAAAGTTTCTTACAAGGGCCTCATGGAATGTACTAGCAAACTGTTCTACAAGGAGAAAGAGAAAGCAACAACAGAGCTGTCTTAATAGCACACATCAGTATCACCACAGAGTCATGGTAAAAGATGTATGAAAATATAATGAAATTTTATTGCCAGTTCCTTGTAAAGAACAATAATAAAGGCTATATACTTGATTATTCTCTCCACCACCAAGAAGGTTGCATTGTAAAACATCTATGGGTCTGTTATTTCCCAGAATTAAAAACAGAGAACTAGGCAAGGGGGGAGCCTATAACCTTTGCCACCAAGTGTGTTTCTTTTCTCCATGTTCTCTGGAGATTCAAAAGTACCTAAATATGGTGAATGGAGGGCCATAGAAGAAAACACTCACAGGGTCCTTTGTTATCAAAACAAAGGTGAATCATGTCAGGTTGATAGCAGATGAGTTTAGTCCTGGAGAAAGGCTAAAACTTAAGGCACCTGAATCTCAAGTCAAGACTTGAGCAGAAGGGCAGGGCTAGTGCCCAAAGAGTGGGACAAGGGCAGGAACTAGCCAATATTATCCTCTTCCTGGGCCTGCTCATATGCACATCTGTTCTGGCAACGAGGTTGATCCCACTGATCATGAGGCTCTTCCCCATCCAGCTCCCCCTCTGAAGAGTCTCCCTCCCTTTCTTCCTCTTTTTCTGAGCCAGACTCATCCGAGTTCTCCTCTTCTAGATAACGGTAGCCTCGGACCTTGTGGCATGGCCTGGGAATCTTGGGGAGGCGATGTGGAATAAGTTGGGATATTTTACGTTCCATCCACAGATAGGATAATACTGCAGTTACCAGAGTAAGGAGCAAGATGGATAACTTAGCCTGGAAGGGGGAAAAAAGTCCATTAGTTAAGAAGGAAAAGAGATAAAATAGAAAAGGCAAAATAATAATCTCAAAGTCTAGGAACTTGTCTTAAGAAATGGGAGCTGTTATTTACGCCACATTTGGGAGTAGACAAAAATGGCTGCTTGACATCTAACTTTCTTCTCTTGCCTTCAAGATCATGTTATTACTGGCCTTATAAGCGCTTCCTCTTTATTCATGAGCCAGAGAAACTCTAGGCTTCTTAATTTTATTTTTCACACCCTGCCTGAATTCTTCAAACAAACTCAGAAAAAATGGCTTGCCCTCCAGAATGCGAGAATCCCCCTCAATGGAGCTTCACCCTTACCTTCATGGGCAGGCCAGACCACAGATAAACAACAAAAATGGCCAGGGCTTGCCACCAGTGGTAGATGGTAAATACGAAGTCCTGTCGCTCTTTGTCTTCATAAAGCATCCCCAGGAGTGCTGCAGGGAAGAAATGGAAGCAGGTAGGTACAGACTGAATACCCTTTCTTGCTTCTGTTACTAATTTAGTACAGAAGTGTTACAAAGATTATAAGAGGGGGATGATGGAAGAATACAGTCTATAAACAAATCTCCCTAATGTGTGAAACACTGTAGAAATATCTTTTTAACAGTTCCTATTTAACTTCATTATCAATGATGCAGTTAAAAGAGGTAAGAGAGCCTGCAAAAGCCACTCTGTGTCATGCAAGCATTGGGAAACAAAGAGTTCCTTTTCAAGAAAGCAGCATCCCTCACATCTCTTGAGGAACTGCTGTTACTATGGAGCTAGTCCACTAGGTTTTGATGTACGTCATAGCCTAGGGTAGGGGATAACTCTTGCCAGGAACTCAAGCTCATTGGCTGGACCAAAAGGAAAGATAATAGTTTAGGGGCACCTCTGAGCACATACTTGGTCTAGGAATTTAGTTTTTGGTCAAAGAACTCAGATCACTATTCTTTTCACCCACAAATCCTACTCCTGATGTCAACCCAAGCATTCTTTATTTCAGCAGCCAAATGTGGGCCGGAGGAACCCTTTTTCATTTATTGCTTTTGTTAAATATTCAGGAGCCAGACATCCTTGGGAGTTCTGCTACAGATCATACAAAGATAGACCAGTGGATCTTGGTCCATTTTTTGTTCCTCTTCTTGTCAATGGAAAGGACTGCAGCGGCTGCAGCAGGAATTCAAGACTGGACAAAATAATGCAGTTACCATGTTGCTAGAAGTAGAGCACCCTTAAGATGTAAAAGATACCCATTTGTCCTAGCATAAACTTGTGTTGCTCATTATTTTGCAAATTGCAGTTGATCACTGGGTGATAAACAAGGGGCTCATTTGCAAATCTAGAGGAATTGTGTATCCGGAGGGAATTTTTTTTGTAAAAGTAGGAACATATTTACCTTTACCTGTGATATGAACCTCAGCATAAAGCAGGATGGGAACAAAGGTCTATAGAAAGGGCAGGGATCTTGACAGAAAATGGGGATTCTGTTACTCACAGCTGAGGCCTGTCTTATTGAGGGCACTGCCAAGACCCCAGAGCGCAGCCACTACGTAGAATACATATTCTTCAGTTAAGCTCTTCGCCTTTGGTTCCCAGCAGAAGAGGGCAATCAATAGGATGGCATGGATACAAGCTCCAGCCACCAGTGGCACCTGGCGAGGCAGCCATAGCATAGAGAGACCCAGAGTGCAGAAAACAGCAGACGAGAGTCCATAAGCAATGAGGATGTACGCCAAACGTTCCAAGCCAATGGAACAGACACCATAGCTCTGGGAAGTGTAGAGAAAGGAAGCATCAGCTACTGTGACCCAGTTGTGTGCCCACCTCCTTCCCGCCTGCAAGCCTTGGAGGTATAAACATACCAGTGCAAAACCAGTGCAGACAAAGAGCACTTCAAAGCCACTGTATATGAAGAAGAGGAAGAGGTGGCGCAAGCGGTAGTCTCGCATGTGCTTGAAAGGCAGTTGAAAGATGTTGCCCCAGCCAATACTACGTAAATCAATCTCTTCTGTGGGGCGATAGGCTGAGCCACAGAAAATCAGCACCTGCAGAAACAGAAAGCCACACAGAGACATCAGGAACAGGGCGCAAGTGCAGGCATCCACTTTACTCCCTTCCATGTTTTAGACAAAACTTGTTGTTTTCTCCATACTCGCCAGTGGCAGCCAGTGATGGGGGGAACCAAAACACACAAGCAGGCAACTTCACAGCATTGACTAAGTGAAGTCATCCTCCACTGGCATGGGAGATGTGGGGTCCTCCAGATGCCTGATTTATCTCACAGGGTGGCTGCTGTGAGGATAAAGCAGGAAGGAGAACAACCACATACCTTGAGCTAACTGGAAGAATGGTGAGATATAAATGTAAACTAATAATGAAAATCATTGCTACGTTGTGTAAGGCAGAACAGAGACATTGAGCATTCCACACACATGCCCACCATCTGCTGTTTCTCTTATGGATTACTATAGTTGTCTTATTCAACTGTCATTATACTAGTTGTTGTTGTTGTTGTTTAGTCATTTAGTCATGTCTGACTCTTCATGACCCCATGAACCAGAGCACGCCAGGCCCTCCTGTCTTCCACTGCCTCCTGGAGTTTGGATAAATTCATGTTGGTCGCTTCGGGGACACTGTCCAACCATCTTGTCCTCTGCAGTCCCCTTCTCCTCTTTCCTTCACAGTTTCCTTAGATTCTCACTATTTCCCTACTACAACATTAAGGAACAATTCAAATATGATTGTTTGTATTTTCAGTGCTTCTAGAGAAGATTCACCTACTCAAATGCAGCTAAGGTTTAACAAATCCTTATCCTATACACCAAAACATATATGTGGCTGATGCACTCACATGCACCTAGGTAAAATCTAGATGAGCTGGCAAGCCGTCCACAGGCCTAACTTTTTGTCCACAGGCCTAACTTTTTGTTTGAAAAGGAAGCTTCCCAGCAACCATCAGGGGAGCTGAAGCTAGGCCCTTCTGTGGTATGAAGCCAGCCAGTTGGACCTTCTCTCCTGGTGAGCACATTTTAGGTGTCTGTAGGGTCTGAAAACTACAAGACTCTCAGAAATAAGAATTATGGGAACTGTAGTCCCAAAAATCCAAAATACATGTCCTGAGTGGTTATACTTCAGCCTATCAACCTTCCTCAGGTCACCTAGATTTCAGCCATGTGACAGTGGATCAAGACAGATCCCATGCAAAGCAAATACAGTGGTGCCCTGCTTGACGATTACCCTGTTAGATGATGAAATCACTTGACAATGAGTATTTTGCGATCGCTATAGCGATCGCAAAATGATGTTTGCATGTTTTTTTTTCGCTTCACGACAATCGGTTCCCTGCTTTGGGAACTGATTTTTCACTTAACAACGATTTAAAAACAGCTGATTGGTGGCTCTCAAAATAGCTCCCCGCTGTTTTGCTGACCTCATTTTGCACGATAGGGAGCGGAAAATGGCCGCCCTATGGAGGATCTTCGCTGCAGGATCAGGTATTTCCCCCACTGGAATGCATTGACCAGTTTTCAATGCATTTCAATGGGTATTTTGTTTTCTCTTGATGACGATTTCACTTAGCGATTTTGCTGGAACACATTATCATCATCAAGCGGGGCACCACTGTAACATGATTCAAATGAGGTACCATTGCCAATAGTGTGAACAGTCCATTGTTACAGAGTGAGAAGTCTGCATTGCAGAATGTAGTATTTCCTCCACAGTTGTTATGCCTTTGCGCTTGCCACAGCAGTTCATACCAAGAGCATGGAGAAGAAGGCCACTCCCATGAGCACACTCTCCACTGTGATGAGCTCACTGCTACGTGGCAATTTCTGTAGGACGGTGGTGTTGAACCCTGTGAGGATTCCATGGCTGTTGGTGCCTGGAAAGGAAACAGCATCTCAAAGATCATGGCCTTAGGAGGGGCCCAGATGAGAGACCACTCCAAGCAGCGGGGGCCACATCTGTGGGAATCATGGAACTATGGAACCCCTTTGAGAAGCTAAGGAGATTAAGGCTTCTAAATGGAGAATGATCATAAGCCCCATTTAAGTTGCACAAGGGGCATCTGCCAAGGTACTCACCACAATGTTGCACGTTGCATAGTGTGTGGTTCAAGTCATAGAGATACTGTGTCAGGAAGAAAAACATGGGGAACTGGGCCCACACAAAACTCAGCTGGAGAAGAGAAGTGGGAAGAGAATGCAAACATAAACTGTGAGGAGGAAAAAGACAGAAATTCAGCCTATACCATGGAGGCAGGAGCTTCTCTCAAGAGCTTCTGGTCTCAGACAGGTTACAAAAAGAAGCACCATGTGGAAATCCCACACCCATCTCCTTTGCTTCACCTCCTTCCTCCAAATCAACAACAATTCTCTCAGCAGAATACTCACATAGAAAAAGCCATAGAAAACAGTTTGGAAGATAATGATGTAGGAGTTGTAAGCTCCACGTGGGGCCCGTTTCTGGTTCTGGACATGCTCCATCTTATAGTTTGCAAATTCATAGTATTTCTGTGCCATCCTGTTGGAAAACGTAATACAGAAAAGCCAATCAGATGGCAGCTAGCTCCAGATCACTGCTTGCTACGGTCAGAAGATCATTTACAGCAGGGTTGGGTGAAGCGCAGCTCAATTGACATGGGTGAATTGCAACTCCCATCAGCCTTAGCCAGGACAGTCCATGGTAAGGGACACTGGGAGTTCCAGTCCAACAACATCTGGAGGTCTGCACTCTGCTTACCTCTGCTGTGAAGACTCAAACGAGCAGGACCCACCATTTCAGCTAAGCAATCCCACTCCACCCGGCTCACCGTGTGATGTAGTTGCCCATGGAGGCCCAGAGAGGAACAATGGCAACCCCAATGGCCACAGCTGATGGCACCAAGGTATAGTAGCGCTCCCAGTAGTTGGTGGAGACAAAGAGTGCGTAAATGCCCACTGCCAAGAACAGCATCCACTTGGTGCCAAAGAATCTGGAAAGATGTACAGAGAATGCTTGGGTTCTTTGCTTGTGCAAATGCCCAGTTCTTTCGATATAAGGGTCATTTAAGTGCCGGTGACCTGAGGGAAGATTGTTCTAAGTTTTCCTTTCCAAAAGGGGATATTTCCATTCCAGCTTAGGGTTCATAGGCCACAAATATGAAAAGTCTTCCAGTCCCTAAAGGGGCATCAAGAATTCACTCTTAGAGAACAGGTGCTTGAAAGGACAGAGTAAGAGCAGCACCTGATGAGTAACGGAGTATAGAGCAGTGCAGCAATTGGTGTGACATTGATGCCCATCAACATCCTGTTGTCGATATTCTGCAGCTCCAGGTTGCTGTATTTCACCTCCCGATAGGTCTCATCATAGTGCAGGATGAGCTGCATTTGCAGCAGGCCTATGAAGAGATACCACAGAATCACAAAGGGTAATGGGTCGTGCAGAACCTTCCAGGTCTTATTCCAAGCAAAGGCACTGTTTCACCTCCTCAAAAGAAGCAAGGAATCCCTCAAGTTTGTGCCCAAGACTGCAGGGGACAGCCATAGCTCAGCAACAAAACTGACTTCTGCAGGGTAGGACCCATCTGTCTACTTTTCTCAAGGAACTCCACGGCAGACTGAGACCCAACCTTTTGGGTATGAAGCCAAGGAACCAAGCAGGGGCAAATGAGTGAAGACACGAATAGTAATAATAATGTGCCATGAAATCATTTCTGATTTATGGAAACACTCTCAGTGTTTTCTATATATGAGCTACTCAGAAGTAATCTACCAGCCCTCCCTTCTGATGGTGCCCTGGGACCATAAAGCCTCAGCAATGCTGGATAAGTGGCAGGGCATGTTGTTGTTTTGATTTATATACCACTCTATAGTGCTAAAGCATTCTCTGGGACATTTATAACATAATTGTGCAAACAACTTGCCCCACCCCAGGTGCTCAATTTTAATGACCTTGGGAGGACAGAAGGTGAACCCAATCTAAGCAAGCTACTGGAGCCATTGTGCAAACAACTTGCCCCACCCCAGGTACTCAATTTTAATGACCTGGGAAGGACAGAAGGCGAACCCAATCTTAAGCAAGCTACCGGAGCCCATTGGGATCAAACACAGATCATGAGCAGAAGCTTGACTGCAGTACTACAGTTTAACCACTGTGCCAAAGCAGTACTGCAGTTTAACTACTGTGCCAAAGAATCTATATGGGTGTAACCCTGTTCATTTAGGTCCTAGGTTCCCAACCTTTGTTACTCGGATGTTTTTGAACTGCAACTCCCACAAACCCCAGCCAGCACAGTTGGTGGTGAAGGCTTCTGGGAGTTGCAGTCCACAACTCCTGAGTAAGCCAAGGTTGAGAACCAGTGGTTTAGGTGATCTTGACCAGCAGGCAGCGAGAGATTTGAAATTCTGGGCTCTGCTTGGTAGCCACACAACTGCTCACTGAGCTATACCAACCCTGTGAGAGCATAAAACCACTTTCAAATTTACTACTTTTGGAAGTCTACACAGTGTCAAGCCCACAGGCTCTGTTGTTTTGTCAAATAACTGGAGATTGTGTAATTTTTGCACTGACTGGATATAATATAGCTACTGTAGCTTGTCAGGTATATCTGTCTGTTGCAAGAACCCTGGAACGGATTATCGTCATTAAGTGAGATACCATTGTATATGGATGTAACCCCGTTCGTTTAGGTGATCTTGACCAGCGGGCAGAGAGAGATTTGAAATCCTGGGCCCTGCTTGGTAGCCACACAACTGCTCACTGAGCTATACCAACCCTGTGAAAGCATAAAACCACTTTCAAATGTACTGTACTACTTTTGGAAGTCTACACAGTGTCAAGCCCACAGGCACTGTTGTTTTGTCAAATAACTGGAGATTGTGTAATTTTTGCACTGACTGGATATAATATAGCTAGCTTGTCAGGTAGAACTGTCTGTTACAAGAATTGTGGCAGTTGCTTCCCCACAGAGAAACTGGGCTAGAGAGTAACTTTAAGAAATTAATGGTACTGGGCATATATTTCAATAACAACTTATTAGGGGCCATCGCTAAGCAATTGCTCTGGCGATGGCCAAAACCCCATCGCTAAGCAATTTCATCGCTCAACGGAGTGATCGCTAAGCGAGGCACCACTGCAATGGGCATATATTTCAATAACAACTTTTGAAAATTAGATCCTGACCAGGGTGGAGGGGAACATGGTTGATTTGTATTTTGATTTATGTATTTTATGTTGCAGTTTAAAAAAATAAAAAGAATTTTAAAAAAGAAAATTAGGCAAAATCAAAAGAAAAATAAACATTAAAGAAGACAAAGATGTTGTGGCACCTTAAAAATTAACTGTTATATTTTAATGTGAGTTTTTGTGGATCAAGTCTATTTTCTCGGACATAAGGGTGGGACTACATGGCAAATATTTTTATATTGATACAGTACACCTGATGTACAATATATATATACTTCTAAAACTACAATTTTAGCAAAGGATGGTTCTTGTGGGTTTTTCGGGATCTTTGGCCGTGTTCTGAAGGTTGTTCTTCCTAACGTTTTGCCAGTCTCTGTGGCCGGCATC